CCGTCTTCAGGAAAAAGGTCAGTGCATCCTCCGCCGCCGCGGCTCCCGAGGCAGGGCAACCCCAGGCACGTGGCCGGGGAGGGAGGAAGCGCCTTGTCCGGAGGCCACGGGAAATGACTGTCGGCAGGGATTAGAAGCGAAGAGCTCGGTGACGCTTCGGATCCGGGCTGACCTGCGAGCGAACGGACTCTTAATTTGTAAGATACGTGTCTTAGTTTCAGAATCTTGGGCGCCGAAACAAATCTGGTTTTGAAGTCGGCACCGAACGCCGAGGCTGAGTACTGGAACGAGCGGATTGGACGATGGGAAAGCTAAAAACTTGTAGCGCAGTGTCAGCTGCTTCCTGGGAAGTCCTTGTGCGACTGATGGTTTCGTGTCCGGCTTTAGTTCTGCTAAATGACCCAACAGCCTCTGGCTTTGCCAAGAGGCAGCCTGGGGGGCTAGTGCAGATCGAAGGGTATGGCCAACGTTTCTGTGTAAATAGTAAAGATGAGATTGCTGACACTTGTGCGTGTCACGAGTGTCCAGGGTCATTACTTTGTCCTCCCGGTGACCTGATCCCCTGCGGCTCTTTCTGGTGACCGTCAATCCTTTTCCCTCAGTTTGTGTGTTGTTTCCCCTTTCTTACGTGTCCTGTTGTTCGTGTGGCACTTTGCTGGGTGGAGTTCTATAGGGATGTTTTCTGAAGCTAATATTAATTCACTAGAAACCCTTGAAGACTTTTTGTTCCCGGCAGATGAAGTGCTGATGGTTTTGCCTGTTGTAGGTTTTGTGCTGGGGTGAGTCTTTTGAACAAAGTTCTTGTCAGAAATGACATCTGAGCATTCGGGAGCGTTTCCCTGCCATGTCATTCATCGTGTCCGAGGCCTACTTTGAATTCCTGGAATCAGCTGAGGAAGTAGTATGTTCTTTAGAGTTTGGGGATTATACATACATACATACATTAAAAAAATGTATGTTAGAACTGACAGTGGAAAAGCTAGTAGTAGATCACATAGCCTGGAGACGGGAAGAGCAGGGCCTGCGTCTGTTTTCTGTGGCCCACAGCTCAGTGATTGTTCTCTCTCCCCTTAGCATGTGTGTTGTGACTGCAAGAAGGATTTTTGCTCAGTTTGCTCAGTCTTACAAGAGAATCTGCGAAGATGCTGCACTTGCCACTTGCTGCAAGAAACAGCCTTTCAGCGGCCTCAGCTAATGAGATTGAAAGTGAAGGATCTGCGTCAGTACCTGATCCTCAGAAACATCCCAACAGACACCTGCAGAGAGAAGGAAGACTTGGTGGAGCTGGTGCTGTGCCACCACGGACTGGGGGCGGAGGACACTGCTGGCAGCTTGCGCTCCTCACGGTCACAGGCCTCAGGCTCCTTTGCCCATCCCTTTTCCCTGTCGGTGTCGCACCCAGGGGAACTCGCAAACAGAAGGGGAAGCGCAGGGAATGGAACACCTTTGCGGGTACGATTAACATTTTATGGCACAGCATTGGGTTGGTTTGTTTAATAGACATGCAAAAAGAACCCCAGTTGGGACAGTTTGGAGGGGCAGGGAAAACACTGCATCTCACACCTGAGAACAGAAGATTGCTGGCAGAGTCCTAGTTTAGGGGAGAGGTGACCGAAACCTCTTAAACCTGAAAACGATTAGTAGCAACTGACACTTCAGAATGTCATTGTCACTTGTGATCACTTCGGTACAAAGTATTTTATAAGGGAATAACATGTTTTTATTCTGATTAGTTTCGTTTCGTACACAGGGACAAACGGAAACACCTGTAAATAATGAAGAAGAAAGTGCAGATGAGCAGGTGAGACATAAACTATCCAAAGAATAGCTTATTTGCCTGTGACACCATAAAATATTTAGACCTCTGTCAGCATTTAGCCTCATGCTCCGGTTATTCCACACTTTGTTTGCACATACAAGAGTCACACGTTAGCCAAGCTGTCTCTGTCAGCATTTAGCCTCATGCTCCAGTTATTCCACACTTTGTTTGCATATACAAGAGTCACACGTTAGCCAAGCTGCTGTTGCTTTATGTAGCTCCTTATCTGGTGCTCTGAGCTTACAGGGACAGTTCTAACCACACAGCTGATGTGTTTCAGACCCCTGGGCTGTCCAGGAAGCGCGTGAGGGCCTCTCTGTCTGACATTTCAAGTCTGGAAGACATCGAAGGCTTGAGTGTTCGGCAGCTGAAGGAAATTCTTGCCTGTAATTTCGTGAACTACTCAGGATGCTGTGAAAAATGGGAACTTGTGGAAAAAGTGAGCAGACTGTACAGAGAGAGTGAGGAAAACCACAGGACACGTAGGTTTACGCTTTATTCTCACTTCTGCATAACTGCTGATTTTTTCTGGTTTGCAGGGGTTGGTTCTGCCAACAGACGGGTTTGGTATCTGACTGGGTCTGCTGAACACCAGGAAAGAGCTTTTAACCACACAAGGTGCCCCTACAGTAGCTGAATGTGGCTCTAGTGATTGCATGGAGGTTTCCAGGATGCTGTTGGGGTTTTGGTTTGGGTTTTTTTTCTTTTTCTTTTTTTTCCAGAGCTCAGAGAACTCGGCTTGCATGGGGAAGGTAAAATTGCACAGCTGAGATGCTCAGAGAACTCAGCTTGCCTGGGGAAGGTAAAATTGCACAGCTGAGAGTGGGTTCCTCAGGGAACATGAAACTTGGCACCTGCAGGTGCTGTGCTGAGTTTCCCAGAGCTGCTCTGAGGCTGCACAGAGCAGTTCAGGTGCTGTGCAGCATGAAACTCTGCACTGTGGTGCAGAACCAAAAGCTGTGGTGGCAAAGGGCTGAGGCTGAGCGGGTCGGTGTCGGTTCCTGTTGTCGATGAGGTTCTGTGGCTGCAGCGCCGTGACTGGTGTGTGCTCCCCTCAACAACTCGAGGCTCTCACGTGTGTGACTGCAGTGGCCACACACC